GCTCTTTTTAGTAAGCCATAGGATGTTCCCATTTTTACGGGATAATAAAGCTGTTCTCTGCAAATGAGAAGTTTATTGCACCCACATCTGTCTTAATATGGCTTATAGAGGTAGCACATCTTGTTGTTATAGAAGTGTTGCACTTGTTTCTTACTGTTGGTGGTATATTGCATGACGTGTCATTAACCACAGGGCGAACATTAACTAATAGTAGCACATCTTTGAAATTCACATCAAAATAAAATAGGCCTAGCACTGCTTTGATGTTTGAGTGTTAATTCTCATGGGGTTTTTTTTGGTTTTTGTGCTTTGGGGTGGTTGTGTTTTGGTGTTGGTTGTTGGGGTTGTTTTGGGGTTTTTTTGTTTTTTTTGTTTTTTTTTTTTTACCACAGGAATCATTATCATTAATAGATTTTGAATTCTTAGCCTTCAGAGAGACATTTAACATCTCTTCAGGAGTAGCTGTAATTGATAAGAGGAAGACATGCTGTTCTCCACCTGGGGAGCAGAGTCTTGCAACAAACGTGCTGTTGGTTGATATCTCAAGTATGTTAGTAGAGCTCTAGTGAAATTAGAAAGGTTCTTCTTCACTGGATCTTTGATTGTGCAAGAATGACTTCCCCCACCTTGGAGAGAGGAAATCTGTTTTCTAGCTTGCAGGTGGTATCAGAGTTGGAGGTTATTCATGGAGCCTAACTGCCCAGGAAACATATTGGGCTATCCTGCATTACCCACCATCTAGTGTATGCATTGCCATTGTTTTTCAGAAGGTTTGTGAGGGATCTGGCTCTGGCATAATTCTGTGGGTTGGCAGATGGTTCTGGAAGTGGGATCCAAGTCCTGTTACTTCTGAAGCTGCTGAGTGACATATATCCATCACTGCCCTCAGGGTAGCACCAAGCCTTGTTTAGGTGCACGCAGCATCCTTAATTACTAAGAGAAGTCACTGGGTATGTTGGGATTAGATTGCATGTTTGATCTGTGTCAGTGCTGGCATTGCATGAGGATGAATTCTGCATTTTTGCCTGATCCAGGAATTGTGCAACACCCAGAACTACTTAGGTCATTGTAGGTTGATTTGGAACAAGACTGGAGTGGGACAATGTCAAATCTCCCAAAGTAGCCATTATTGCTACTATTTGGATTAGCATCCACTAAGGTGTTTGGAGAGTTTGCTTTTCACTTGTTGCTCCTCTCTGTGTAAGAAAACTGCTTCTTTTGGTAGTCAAGGACTGTGTTTGAAGGGTTTCCTCTTGGGATTCTGGTTATATTTAGATGGAAATAGAGATTCCAGAGAGCACCTGAGGACAACAGTCATTTCCATTTATGGGTTAGACCTTCATATGTGTTTCTAACTGGAACTCACGGCACTCGCTTGAGGAAATGGTATTGTCTGAAGAGCAAATGTTCTCCTTACCTGCTTATCTTTGTAACAGAGGTAAATGTGCCCTTAAAATACTGAGCCAGCATTTGAAGCAAAAGATCTAGTGCAATCTTCTGGTAGAATTTAGTGGGAGAGAGATTCAGAAGTGCAAAGGAGAGTCAAATATCTCATACCTACAGTTTTCCAGTCTTACTCATTTGCTACAGATGAGTATAGGACCATGACCTTATTTGTTGTTTGTGCTTTTTAAACTTCTTGCTTTTGCTAACAATAGGGTTACTTAAAAGAAAACTAATGGCAGGAAGCAATCCCTGGAAACTGTATTTGGAGAGGAAGCATTTTCTATTATTTCATATATCCAAATGGACTCTTAAGATAACTAAAGGCACAGACGGCAAGCTACCTTGTCAGGGCTTCTTTCTCCAGATTTGAATCGGAACCTTATTTTATTCTTACAAATAGCAAGAAATTAATAATTAGATTTCAAAGCTGAAAGCTCTTTACTTCCTTCCCTGCTTACTGTAATATAAACTGCCTGTGGCCAAATCATTCTTTTATAAGAGATGTGAACTCTTGCTTGTTTGATTATGACTGACAGGCTTACAATCACTTTCATTTTAAGAGCCAGAGGTCTGATTTTGTAAAACAATTTTGCAGCTTTTTGCTCTAAGACACTTTGGATAATCTTAGTCACTGCATGTAGTATAGCTATTTATTATAACATATGTACTTGTGAAAAGACTGCGTTGAGTCATTAGGGGAAGAGAAAGGACTTTAGATTTGGCTGTTGAAGCAGAGAAATTTCTCCAGAGAAAGTAGACACATACTTACGATTGTTTGCTTCCTAGGGGAGATATAGTTAAAATTGGTACAGATATAGTTAAAATTGGTACAGATATTTTATTCTCTTAGTTCCTAGTCATCGACATAAACATTTTTTTTTACAGAAAAGTCTCCTCTTTTGTGAAACAGGCATGAAAAAGCTAAGCAGTTGGAGATACGAACTGAAGTGTGGTGCTGTCTATTCTTTTTTTAATCTTAAGGATCTTCTGGAAATGAGAATCAGCCACTCCTTTTCCTGACTAATTAAGCCATTGTACTGCTATATTGAGTGTATTAGACTAGTTATCAGAATACTCCGGTGCACTGAAAGCAAGAATCGTTCCTTGGTCAATACCAGTTATATAGAAACAGTAGTGAATGAGACAGTGACTCATTTAGGTTTCTTCCCCAAATACATTTTTAGATTTAGAGGTTGCAGAACGAACTTGGCCATTTAGATGGGATATAGATGGCCTTGTTTTGTCTTAAATGTACCTCTGTTGTGGATTTTAAGTTAATTTTTATGTCAAGTCTTGAGAATTGATACATGCAAAGTAAAGCAAATGTGTAATTAAAAACAGATCTGAAACAAAAGTGCTGGTTTCCACCCCAACACTCCCACCCCAGGTAAAGTAAAAGTTTTCCTCTGCAACTGCTTTGAGGTGCCGTGTGTCTCATTTCTGGCATTTAAATTTTACCAATTTAAAAGATTTCTTCTATTTTAAGGAAAGCTGTACTATGTGATGAAGCCCTGCCCTATATTCTGGTATTTAAGTTCAGCGTGTCAAGCAGTTTACAGAGATGCTAAATCAATAAGTAACAATTAACACTGTTGTAGAGTGTACCTGCGAGAATACATGTGCATATGGTCTTAATACAACTTTAGCCTACTATGTACTTTAGGCTATTGTAGTGGTTTAGTCAACACAAGTTTAGTATTTGAAGTCTGAGACCTAGACTTCAGAAAAACATCAAAACCCTGCAAAAAGCAACCCTCAAACCCAGTTTGGTCTTGAGTGCCTTCTGAGGAATCAGTGGTACAAATTTAGTGGCAGTTGTGACTGGAAATTCAATCCATCGAGGTACTTGAAGATGACAGCACACCTCTGATCATTTTTAAAGGTGAAGTCATCTAGTAAGAGGTTTGTTTTTTTTTTTTTTTTTTTTTTTTTTTTTCCAGATCGTAGGTATCCACTTTCCTGGTTCTTAATACAGAGACACTTCTGAAAATTTGATTGTCTGACTCTCTAGGCTCTCATATAATGTTATAAATCCTGCTACTCACTGCCTTCAGGAAGGAGCCCACACTTGGGGTTTTGTAGTGTTAAAATCAACATTAATAAGCATCTTTGTTGTCTTGCTGTTTCTTGATGGGCATTGCTCCTGCTAATGTTTTGAGCTTATATTATTTACCTTTGTAGCTGAAATGGAAAACAAGGCTTTCTAGTTTAGATAAATAGATGTTAACCATATGATTGTTTGGAGTTCGCCTGTAAACACAGGGAGTTATGCTGCTATGGGTTGAAGCAGAGAAGTATGGACACTGTTCTCTGCCGCTAATTTACTGTATGCCCTCAAACTGGTTTTTAAACTTTAGCTGCACCTGTATCCATGTGTATATGCCTCAAGTCTTTACTCTGTCTTAACTGTAGGTAGGATTTAGATTTTTATTCCCTTGATTTTAATTTACTTCTGTTTCTAAAGGAAGAGGTTAGCATATAATCTTAAAACCAGTGTGGGATAAATTTGATTTTAGTCTAAAACTTGCTGTTGTGCATTTTTCTTTGTGTGATGGCTGCTTTAGATATCTATATAGCACCAAAACTGAGTATTGGATTCTGCTTTGAACAGCTAAGATGTAGCAGCGTTTCTTCTTCCCATAAGGGGACCCTTGCTGGTGTTCAGTTTATACCTTACAGCTTAGTCATTGAGAGAGATAGTGTTTGTGGTTTTCTATATATCAGCTGATAAGTGAGCAAATTGGTGATGTTCTTTTAAGTATTTATCTGTTTCTTAATTGCAAGCACAGAGGGGCAGAAGCCATTTTTGCTTTTTCTGTTTGTGTGGGTTTGGTTTTTTTTTAAGCAGTGCATTTCAAAATAAGGCCGCCTAGTACATCGAAGCCTGTGAACTCCCCTTGTTCCCTTGTTTGCTATGCTCGTGTGTAATGGGTTACTGTGAATCCTTTTAATGCTGTGTGTCTGCAGTGTAAAGCCTGTAGTGTAAATATGCTGAGAACAGGAAATGAGCATTATTTAACTATGACCTTGCATCTTTTTCTTCAGCAAGTTGCATTGAGATGAACAAGGCAGCATTATTGAACTAGAGAGGAGCAAAATCCCATTTAACTGCGTGCTGGGCTTTGATGTACTGCCAAGTACTGTTGACTGTGATAGCCTCTGGGATGCAAAGGAGACTGTAGCTGTAGATAAGAGAGGTTTTCAACTGAAGTGTCTAGTGATAATGTCAGCTTTTATAATTTCTATGTGGAAGCTAGCTTTTAATTCAGTGCCTGGCATGGTATTTCTGCATCCTAGTTCCCATGCAAAATCACCAAGATTTCATTCTTCAGATATGCAGGAGATCTACTGTTTGCTGTGATACAGCTAGGTTTCCACCCTCATAAATGATACAATCAAAGCTAGAGTAACCTTAAGTACTCAGTATGTACAGTGCAGATGCCTAAAAATGTAGACATATACTTAATGGTGTCTAGCTATAGAGGATACTCTAAAATGGTCTCTCTGTAATTCAGTTGCAGAGAATAAGCAGGGCTCTGCGTGGCAAGCACAAGAACTGCTATAAGGCATCTCTAGCCTCTGCTGCACGACAGTGGATTGAATGGGCTATGTTCCAGATCTATTCAGCAGCCAAGCTGGAAACTGCTGAAGAAATTTTAGCATAATCCATCAGATGCAGCGTTGTACCCTTGTGTGCACACCTGTTAGGTGCTAAACAAATGTTGACAGAAGATCCCCTATGTCCATCAGATCTGGGAAATAGGCTGGAAAGACTTATTGAGTCTGGGCTAGAGACTTCCAGCTTTATGACTTTGTTAGTGTTCTGGGAAGTAGCAGCATAAAACATTGTTTTGGTCAGACTTTTAATATAAAATTTTCTCATGGTAATAAGTTAGTTTCTGGAGAGATGGGAGATCATGACTGATACTAAATTTCAGTGTTTAGCTAAACAAACTTTACATTGTCATGGACAGTATATTAATTTGCACATGCTACTGGCTCAAAGCAGGGTAAAATGGGCCTGTAAAAAGGATAAAATGGCTAGAGAAGTTGAGAGACTTGGATCACTTGTATTGGAAATATCCTCCTTTTCCCCTTCCTTCTGTAGTTGTCTTTCTGTCTATAAATTTAGGCTGCCTTTATACTGCAGCTCCCATTGTGTATGCATTCTGGAAGGAGGAGAAGAATTGAATCCAGTTACATTCCAGTTTTGCAAAATAATCTGAAATGGCTTGTATTGTACCAAGAAAGGTAATTGTGCAGTTTAACACCTTGTCCACCACAAAAGAGGTAAATGTATTATCCCAGTACTTCTGAGGGAGCAAAATTTTTTGGACTTAACTGGGATGCAGTATAGTTGATTGTATGCTCTACCACTGTTTTAAAAAATCTGTATTGATGGATCTGAGTTCAGGACAGTGTGATTTGAGAGGAAGGGCAAGAGATTATTTTGTCTGGGTTTTTGATGACAGTGTTGAAGTTTGCAATATCTAAAAGTTTTGTTGTGACAGAGTACGCAGATGTGAATTATTTGCTAAATGCAAGTAATCAGTAATCATATAGTAGTTAGATTCATGTAGCTGATAAGTCTGCAGTGTTGGGAACCTGTTTTCTTTCTGATCCTTGCAATCAATTTTTTTTTTTCTGTTTATATCTGATTATATTATAGAGGGAAACTTTTTACTCAGATCTTTTCTGTTAATCATATTTGGCAGCTGTGATAAGAAAACCCAAACCAAACAACTTCTATTTAGAGCACTGACAACAATTTAAAGCGAGTAAAGAATTTTTGTTGTTCATTTCTTGTGTCGAGATACAAAATCTTGCTGCATTAGTATTCATCCTGAGAATGGATGGGCTTTTATGCACCAACATCCTATGCAAATTAGCCCTTTCCTAAGAGCAAACATATCTGATTAGGGAGAATACAGTTGTCCTGCAAAGTCTGCTTTATTCTTTGACACAAAAATTGTGGAAATTGTTGGGGGTGGGGGGGTAGGGTGGGGTGTGTTTTTGTGGTTTCTTCCCCTCCCAGCCCCCACTTGGAATTGATGGAGAGCATCGTCAGGCAGGAAATAGCAAAAGCTTTTGTAAAAATCTTAAAAGAGAGAGGGAAGAGGGCATTTTCACAAATGGAATTAGGGTGATGCAGTAAAGTTTTGGATGCCTGCCAGGGAGGACAGATGCATCATGCATATAGTGGCTTGCCGACGAGACTGCACATTGGCAGCTTCCCGGTCTGTTAATACAGCAAGCCTACAGCCCGAGCATAATCACTGCAAACAGAGCACTGTTCATCTTACCACTTTTGTGGGTTTGCCTGGCAAGTTTTCAGTCCTATAAACATTATTGAGACTTTAAAACTTGCTATCATGTAAAAGATCTTTTTTTTTTTTTTTTTAATACTAAGAAGTGCATTTTCTGTCCTCACTTCAGTAAACAGACTTGCTTTTTTCTGTACAGAAATGTAAAGTGAGATACTCTCACTGCTGTCAAAATATGACGTTAGATTTGGGGTACTAATAATGATCTGCACCTTCTTAGGCCTGTGTTCAAACGTCCCCCTACTTCTGAGAACCTGCTGACTCAGTCATGTTTAATAGAAGACTTCACCACTAGAATAAATTTTAGCACTGATTTTTTCATAGCCCTATAATGGGTATTTTAATAGGGGAGATATAATAATTTCTGGCTGCTTCTTGAGCTGAAATGCTTCTGCTGCTTAAAGAAAGCATCTTGCAGATATGAGAGAAGTAAGAAGACAGTGATTTTTTTTTTTTTTATTTTATTTTTCTTTTTTTTTCTTTTTTAAAGCCTGCCCTGTCTCTGGTCTTCTGCATGAAGAGGAAATCTCAAGCTTTTCTTTCTTGCCTTAGTGATGCTTAATCACTGTCACTGAATTTAGTTGTTATGGAGGTGCCCAGCTAGTGTGACTGAAATCCCTTGCCATCTTATTTGAAGTTCTTCAAGGGCTTCTCAAAAATACTTTATTTCTCAACTTTTAGAGTCAACGCTCACCATATTTCCATGGTTAGGTCTGTTTGGGTTGATTTTTGTACAGTTGGTCTCAACTCCATGAAGGACTGAGGGAAGAGAGGCCCAAAGAGACGTTTTAAGCTGCTGTGTTGTAGTGCTATGTAAGAGATTAAAGATTTTTTTTTGTTTGTTTGTTTTAATTCTTGATTCAACTTGTGTGCTTACTTGAAAGTGATGGATAAGATAACTGGGGAGGTCCCTGCTTTGGCTGTTCAGCTCGAGCTGTTCAACAGTGGTGATGAAGGACACTGCTGGGTTGGAAAATGGCTGCTCAAAGACCCCAAGATTACCCATCCTGCTTGAAAGGAAGAGATAACTAACAGCCCTAGGATGTCTGGATATTCAGTTTCTCACCTCTGAAGACATGCACAAACTGCATGGGCTTCAATGTGTAGTTACTACTCCTGTTTTGATTCAGCAGGTTAATTAAAATGATTTCTCGGTTGAAGGAGGATTTGCCTTGAAAGAATGGTTGCTGCAAACTGAGATCAAACTTCATTAGAAAACTTGAACTAAGCACTAAAGTGTCATAAGGATGCAAGCATCTATGCTGCGTGATTTACCAAAAAATCCTGGAAAGACTGGTATATTGAGTTTTAGGAGCTAATATAACTGAGATCACTAAAAATCCACAGCCTCTTAATGCATTTAGCTTGCCCTGTAGGCCTAATTAAGGTAGGTATCATTGGTCTTCAATAAAGAAGATTAATTATTTTGTGCATCTTTGTGTAAACCCTGTTATGTTAGGCTGAGATTTTTGCAGCCATTGAACAAAGCTGTGGGAGACTCTCCTGTCTGACAGACATTGTACCAAAACAAAAAGCATTTACTCTTCTGTAATTAATGGAGGTGAGGTATCAAGTGAAGAGTAAGAATTGGTCTCTCTTAAGCCAATGAAGAAGAGCATATCTAGCCAAATATCAGTGTGTTGTAGAAAGTGATGTATACTACTGTATTACTGAAAAAAAAAAAAATTATATGAGGTTGAGAACATCAAAGCACAACACATGTATTGCCTTAAAGCTTTTGTGACTTCTTGAAAATGTGTCTTTGTACTGTCATTTTGGAGGGTAGAGGAATTGTGCCTCTAAAGCCACTAAGTAAGAATAAATACAGTGATGTCTAGTGTCAATGATGGCAAACCTCCTCTGATAAAGTACTTCACTTGACATTATGAATTCAATTCCTTAGAAAGCCTCTGCTTAAATGTGAAGTATGCTTCCCATCACTTGGATACACTTTGCTTTGGAATGAACAGAAGTGTGTAAAGGATCTACTGCTGGGTTCTCTGTGGTGGTGGTGAGCCCAGGAGCAAGAGCAGGCAAGATAGAAAGAATATGTCTGCTAAAATAGGTCTGCAGATGTGTAATTTTAGCATTAAGAGTTCTTTAGTTATAAATTAACTAGGTTTGGTTTATGGTTTTAGAAAGTGAACCTGAGGAATGAAGTTAGAAATTACTTGGGTGCCTCTTTTTGTAAGCTTACGCTGGACCGTGCTTTTCCCTGTTCTGCTCTTTTGTAGCACTTTGAGGTTAAATATGATGAATGCAAGAAAAATGAAAGCCTTTTGTCGTACGGTACAGTGTACATTCACCATGGAACTGGGAGGTGCTTGGCTGTATAGGCACATGTAGGTGTCACTGTGCTCTTTCACACAAGATACGGACAGTCAGCTGTCAGTATGAGCCACAAGTGCTCCTAGTGTGCCAGACTGGAGCTGTATAAAACAATAAACACTGGGTTGGGAAAAGGCCCAGGAAAACTGTTGACTTTGGTCATAATTGCTTCCTATTGCAATTGAAGCTGCATTGCAGTCCTTGGCAAACCTTGGGATTAAAGGCCTGTGTGGAACGTTACTGCAGCGGTGTTGAGCAGCCCATGGAATATGGCTTTTCTGCATCTGAGGGAGGGTTAGTGGAAAAGCTTTTCTAAGTAACATTACCAGTGTTGTTTGGCAAAATGAAGTAGATTTAGGTGGGTCATTTGTGCTCTTCTGTCAGACAATTATGAATCTTGTCCTGAGCCTGTCTTGTTTTTACCCTTTGTGAAGAATGTGGAGGGACTTCTGATTTTTTTTTTGCTAATTCATCGCTATCTGTTTTACTTGTTCCTGTCTCTTTAATGTAGTTACTGTGTAATCATTGACGTCTTCCTCCATTATTTGATTTCCTGGATTCCCCCTAAGTTTTATATGAATGAATTATATTAGTGTTGATTAATCACCATTTATCCTGTATAATACCAACCATGTAACTGATAAGTGCAGAATATTTCTGAGTACTATAGTGGCAAAGTAAAGCAGGTTTAAGTTACGTTTTGAAACCATGATTAAGCTTTAAGTGATGAGGAATCATCGTTCTTCACATAAACTGGGGATTCTTCTGTTTTGTCTTTTTTTTTTTTTCTTTTCTCTTTTGCTAACACAACAAATACTGCTAGTGTGCTAGAGAGCTCCTAAATGCAAACTCTTCCCCTACATGGAAATCCCCTTGGAGTGCATTGTGTTTATAGTTTCTTTGTTCGA